ATTGCATTAACCCTTTAATAGGCATCTTAACTGCATTTTGAGTCATTATATCTAGTCATCTCAACCTGTTCGAGGCATCTTTTGCAAAAAAAAAAAAAAAAAAATATATATATATATATATATATAGTATTGTAATTGAACTTTCAGTTCTCCATTGATAGTTATTTACAGGTATTTACACTGAATAAAAATGACTTTATTTATGTTTGACATATCATACCCTTTTTATATTTAATGTAAATCAATCACAATAGTGATTGAATAGAATATTTTTTTGCAAAGGAAGGCACAGAAATTTTATTATTGTCTTTTATTAAAAATTGTATGTCTCTTTTGGTATTGTTTTGTTATACTAATGCATTTTATTAGTGAGCATCACTACATATGAGAAAGTGTGACTTTATCCACATACAGATTGGTTTAACACATCACATATTTTCATTTAAAAAGATATAGTTGAGTGTGAGAGGCCTTTTATTTCAGTGTAAATAATAGAAATCAGTGCAGAATTTTGAAAAATCGCATAATAAAAAATAGTTATTGACCCAATAAACCACAAACTACAAGTTATGTTAATAATTTTTCCATAGGCTTTTTATTCCATGTATGCCCATAAAAGGTTAAAATGTAAAAAAAAAAAAAATGCTGAAAACTATTGCACTTGAAACTGCAAAGACATCTTTGTAAACACATGTGGATGTAAACATAACTGTCTGAGAGTCATACGCCCTTGTTCATCTCTCAGTCGTGTAGTTAAGGACGTTCTTTATGTTATGAGTGGTTTGCATAATACCTGGTTCCATGCCAGCTTTTGGGATGGCCAGTTGCTGCGATACACAGGTCATGCACTCTCTCTCCCTCCTGCAGCGGGGCTCTTCAAGACATGATTAACGGCTGTTCTTTTCCCCACTCTCTCATTCTTGTTCTTTTTCTCTCTTTTCCTGTTGGGATTCTTCCTCTTTAACCTAGCATTAAGTTTGTGGGCCGTGCAACAGCACATGTGTGTTCCAAGTTCCCACAAGTAAACCACTGGGGTTGATGAGAGAGGCGGACGGCTCGGGATGGCTGAGGTGTCATTGGTGGGGTCCCGATCGGGGCTGTAAATTCAAGCGGGGAGGGCAAGATCCTGTAAGATGAAACCCTTCTCCCTCCATGTATCAGCGACACAACTTGGGCTGAGACAAGGAAGAGAAGAAGCAGGCAGTAAATCCATTGGAGTTCACTGATAGCAGTGTTTGCACAGCCACCGCCGCCTCCTTTGATCAAATCGCCGGGGGAGTGGGGGTCGTGTGTCGCTGCCAAAGGTCAGCTATATATTATGCTCCTAAAAGTGATTACTGAAATTCTTAACTGAAACCATTCTGCTGCCAGGGTGTGCCAGAAGCCCCTGCAGCGGTGTCTGGCCCACTCGGGGGGCCTCTCTGCAGCCCCGTCCGCCAGAGAAATGATCTCTGCTTGTGTTTCCTATCATAAGAGGAGAGCCCAAGAGAGCCCCACATGGAAATGCGCTATCCAATTGCAGCGGTGGTGGGTAAAAACCCGCAGTTGAGGCTTTAGAGTCAGGAAATATATAAATGTGTAGCACGCTTCAAAGAGGGGAACGGCAAATTAAGCCTAGACAATAAGTGGCCTTGCGTTCAAAACAGTATAAACAGTGTCTGCTTTGTGTTTACTGACCTCTTTCTCTCTTTCGCGGCATTGGACACAGCAAGAAACCAGCTGATCCCTGCTACGCTGTAGGTATTGCTCACTGAAATGTTTTAGATGTGAGGAAATGACAGCTCAATTAGATTGTTTAGGCATTCCCTGCCACCTGTTAAAGTCAAGTCAAGTCAAGTCACCTTTATTTATATAGCACTACTTGTTTCAATGCAGCTTCGCAGCAATAAACAGGAAACAGAATCAATGATGCAAACTTAATCAAATATGAGACAAATTCTGTAAAGCAGCTCTAAAAAGACAATAGTCATTATTCAGCTCAAGTCAGTTCAGTGCACTTGATTAAAGGAATAGTTCACACAAAACTGAAAATTTGCTGAAAATGTACTTACCCTCCGGTCATCCAAGATGTAGTTAGTCTCTTCATTAGAAAAAAGCTGAGAGAAATTTTGCATTACATCACTTGTTCATCAATGGATCGTCTGCAGTGAATGGGTGCCATCAGAATGAGCAGCTAATAAAAACATCACAATAATCCACAAGTAATCCAAACAACATCAGTCTATCAATTAACTTTAAACTAAAATACAACTCCTCTATCCATAATATTGCTTTCCCCAGTGAAACAGTTGTCTTGTCCGAATCAGGAGTGAAATATGCACAGATCAAGTACCATTTCTAAGTGAAAACAGTCCAAGTTCTAAACAAATATGTTGGTGGATTTTGATGTGAGAGTACAACTGAGGATGTTTTCCCAGGAGTAAGCGTTATTATGGGGTTGTGGACTGGTATTTTGGCCAGGAGAAAGGTTTAAAGTTGAAATGCCTTAATGGTGGATTTGTTTCTTGCAAACACACAGCTTTTTACTTCACAAGACATTAACTGATGGACTGGAGTCGTATGGATTACTTGTCGATTATTGTGATGTTTTGATGCTGTTTGAACTCTCATTCTGACGGCACCCATTGACTGCAGAGGATCCATTGGTGAACAAGTAAAGTTACATTTCTCCAAATCTGTTCCAATGAAGAAACAAACCCATCTACATCTTGGAAGACCTGAGTTTGAGTAAATTTTCAGCTAATTTTCTTTTTTTGTTCTTTTAACTAAAGGCATAGCTCATCCAAAAATGAACTTTCTGTTATCATTTACCCTTATGTCATTTAAAAAAATATGACTTATCTTCATTTTTTTACAGAAGAGTGTTTCAATAGTTTTTGTCCATGCAATGAAAGTGAATGGGGTCAAAATCAAACCAGACACATCTGTTCCACAGAAAAAAAGAAAACTATTAAGATTTGGAACGACATGTGGGTGAGTGAATGATGACAAAAATGTCATTTTAAGGTAATCGTATTGTCCACGCAGCACCTGTAAGGATGTGGAAAATCCTTTTCAGAAGAACTGTTAGCAACAAGAAGACCCACACTCTGGACAGACTTCTACCTCAGATCATTAAATAATTGAGATATTGTTAGTTTTTAATTCATATTTTGAATTACTTTCATTTTAATTCTACTTAAAGTTTTAGTAATTTTGTGGGGTTTTGTCTTAAAAAACTTTTTTTAAAAACTTATTTTTGAAAAATGAAAAATGTTGCAGTAGTAACTGGCTTAATTTATTTTTTATACTTTATTTCAGTTAACGTTTATTTTAAGTAACAAAAATGTTTTTATTATTATTATTATTATTGTTTTAGTTTAACCTGCTGAGATTCACCTTCATATATTTCAATTACAGCAGATTCTGATTGTAATATGTGCAAATAAATCTGCACTTCCACAACATTCCTTCCATAGCTGCCGTGGATTTAAAATGTTGCCGTCGTGGGATAAACAAGAGAAATGTGAAGTCATACTCAATGAAACTTCATACACATTCGCTGATCATTACCTAAGATTGCCTTGTGTTAACTTTGGCAGACCTTGCCTTGGCTCTTAAATTAAAGGGGATGATGTATTTCCTCTTATTTGTCATTTGCAATGGACTACTGAGAGAAGAAATAAGAGAGAGAGAGAGAGAGAGAGAGAGAGAGAGAGAATGATGCCTGCTTGACCGGCAGGCACATGCCAGAAATAACAGAGTGGACCTTGCTCTAGAGTCTCATTAGCTGGTGGAAAACAGTTCCCTGGAGGCACAACAGGGTGTAAATACGTTTAAATCTTCTCAGTCCTGAGGCAGAACTCTGCCAATTTTTCCCTATTTATGCTCAGAGTGAGTGAGATGCACACCCATGCAGATGTAGACTTGAACTGTAAGCTCCATAAGAGCTGAAGCCGTGTTCAGTCTCATAAATTTAGGCAAAAGAATTCAGCCTATTTTAGCGTACACCCTGGGAAAGCTGAAAAAGCTGAACTGTAGAAATCTGATACATATATGTCTGTTCTTGGTTTTATGACAAAACTAAAATTGTTACAAATTAGCTCTAGGTTTGAAATTTTCTTTTGTGGTTAGTGTGCTCTGTGAAATGTCAAAATCAGGGTTATACAATTTGTCATTTTAAATTTCTGACAAAAATGAAAACATTATGAGATTTCCAGACTGTGTTCCGCTCAGCAAATATCAAGTGGTTTCAGTTTTATACATGCCAATATAACATACTTTTTTTTGTTTGTTTGTTTGTTTTTAGGAGATTTTCCAAAGTAGAATGCACACCGTTTGAATGTCAAACTGATACTTGAACATAATTTGATCAAAATATCAGAATTAGAATACAATATTGGAATACTCTAAATATAAATTATGATAAAGAGTTTGGCTTTAACAGACCAGTACAACTGGGAGGACTTGGTTTTGATATTAACTAGACAAAATTATGTTTTTATCTGTGCCGAGTTGATGCTTAAAACAGGAACTGAAATAATTAAATTTACATTTATTCATTTTGCAGATGCTTTTATCCAAAGTGATTTACAGTTGAGGAATGAAACAACCGATATATATACAGACTGGCATTAAAGGATTTAGAATTTTGTTTTGAATAAGTTGGAATCAGTATTATGTTTGGTTTGTTGGTAGTTTTATGATTTAAAAAAAAAGTTCTTCACAACTAAGTAAAAAATGATTTTTAAGAGCTTTTCACTGAAATGTTTTTCTATGGCATCATTGTGAAAAGCTCCCTTTTCCCCAGGAAAATTCATAGAAATTAGAGATTTATCATTAGGTATCTAGCCTTACCCAGCAGAGGGCAGTGGTGTGTTGGTGAAAGCACTGAAGAATGAGGGTTTCTGTATTCTGTACTAGACTGACATTTGGAAAAAACACTTAATAAATTAATTCAATACAGAGATATAAATTAAATACTTAAATGATTCAAGCGGTCCAAAATATGTACAAACATGATCAACCTTTATTGACAGTAACAAAAATACACAATGAAGAGTGAAATCACACCACGAAACAGTTCAACTTACAGCATTCTGGCATTGCTATTGGCATAATGTCAATACAAAAATGACAGATACTCTCAAAATATTCTCAGATATGCTGAGCATCATGTCGACTGCTGGGCGAGAAAGGCTCTTATTCTCTGCAGCAGCTCCTTCTTTACACTGTCAGGCACCAGGGCTGAGGAACACAAAAGAGTTATTAATGATGATGATCATGCTTTTTCTGTGTTGCATTGATGTTGATCACTCACAAATAAATGCATATAAAAAAAATTCTTGTTAACACCCAAATGGTTTCAATATAAAAATCATAAGGGATTTACGATTAAGAACCACCTACCTCTTCCTTTGGGAGTAACTCCAGCGACCAAGTCTTCGACAGTAACATTCTCTAAACCTTTCTCCTTGATCACCTCTGCAAAAAAAACAATGATACTTCTTCACAAATCAACCAGTGAAGTGTATGCAGTGCTTTGAGATAGATCGGACCAGTGTTTTTACCTTTGCAGAGAGCTTTGAGCTGATCTCTCCAGCCACACTCGATGAGCTTGGCTCGAAGCAACTCCTTTAACCTGAAAAAAAAAAAAGCAAAGACAATGTTTCATAAATGAAATGTAGCATGCACTCATGGGATGCGTCTAAAAACGTAGCGAATACCCTATATAGACAGCATTTTTGAACAGTGTGGATGTGCTAGATTTTTTTTTCTACAGGATTCACACACAATTCATTTTCATGACTTGAATCATTTGTGACTACTCTCAAACACATTTGTAGCCAATCAAATACTTCAGAGCTCAGCGTACTTCTAAAAATGACTAAAACATTTCTCAAATGTCTTAAGATTTCATACATTCCAGAAATATGCCTCAAGGAAGGCAAATCACTAGGGTTTGGGACTATGATTCTCAAAAACGTCGCATAAGCAGGGAACTTTCTAGGTTTTGAGACACAGTTCATGGATCATGATTATAGACACTTACCTCTCCCTCTCACCCATCTCAATTAACTTCTGGTTAATGGCAGCCCTCATTTGTGTTTCTTTACTCATATTAATCTGAAACAAGAATCGAAAACGATTAAACGCGACGTAATTTCGAGCTCGTAGTGCCAGTGCCACAGACGAACGGTGTGCCAGCTCACAAAACACAATATTCACTCCTCGTTTTTAAAATTGAACATGAACAAACAAGACCGACAACCGGCTGGACTTTGTGGAAAATTCATTTTTTACAATTCTCATTTTGGTGCTAACGAGCACAGGTAATTATTTTTATGGCCCATGCAAGTACCGCCATATCAAGTTAACGTTGTTGCAATTATCATTTAATATTATGTGATTTTGTAATAAACATACCAAATACTGATGAAAATACGCATAATGTTCTAATCGGCGTGTATGTGGACCTCTTTGCTGTTGTTTGTAGCCGGCCGTTCCGCACACCGTTACCTTCCCCACAGAAACACGCTCACTGGCGGAAAGTTCCTTCCAACTTAATGGTTCCTACGCAATTACGTTAAATGGCATTCTTGGCTTGCTTGATGTACAATAAAGCAAAGAAGACGCGGGTCTTAATATGATTTTTCTACTACTCTTATATATTTTAATAGTCGTTGAAAAAGTGTGCTTGTGGTTAAAAATACGCAATAGTTATCCAAATATATGTAGAGAAAGACCGAAACTGTCCTTACGAAAATATACCATGTTTTCACTAGACTGCATTTTGAAAGACATGCTGTAGATTCGTACTATTCAATTAATCTAATAAGGGGAAATCTATGCATCGATTAATTTTCATTACATTAATCTTACAATGCACTTGGAGCAATGGTTTTAGGCCTGCTGTGGTAACAGTAGCCTACAACAAATACCACAGTTATTACGCAAGAACTTAAGGTAAACTTTTCTGAAGGCTAGCAAATGCTTACTATATTTTTATACAATATTACATTTATTGATACGAAATTAATATTTACGTTTTTCTCCATATTTATGAAGGTATCCTGCACCACAAGATGGCGATGTGTCATAGAGAATGCAACACAAAATTCACAAGCTTCTGCTTTTCATTCCAGGTAAAGATTATTTGAAAATAAAAATGTACAAGAACACCATGTGATGTCAGTCAAATGTGTTATGTGGCTCTTTTGAAAAAGAAAATATTATGCTTTGCTCATAAATTATGCACTAAGTACATTTTATGTACACTTGGCACTGAGATAAATGTTAATTAGGTGAGACTAAGTATGATTTAGCACACACATTTTCAAAGCTTTCCAGTAACCTAAAGAGAAAGTTAACCTAAAAATGAAAAAGGTGTAATCTTTTTATTTTATTCACATCATTCATATGACAAAAGACAAAACCAGAAACACTTAGTGGTTGGTTATTTTATTCCTTTAAACCAATATGCCTGTGTTGGCCTGCGTGCAAACTTTTTGGTTTTCTGCTTCCATGCACCTTGTTTGGGAGTGAAGTTGCAGTGGAATAATAATTCAGGTTACAGCAGCAGCCAGAAGCCCTTCAGTGAGGCAGAAGAAGTCATCCTGACTGGCAGCAGCACCGTTTTCAACATTAATAATAATAAATGTTACTTGAGCATGAAATATTGCATATTAGAATGATTTCTGAAGGATTGCGTGACACTGATTACTGGAGTAATGATGCTGAAAACTCCTGCTTTAACATAGTAGATTTTTTCGAGTGCAGATCAATTTTGCGTTTCTTTGATTATACATATATAGATCTTGGAACCTAATTAGCTGGGAGAGTGCGATGAATGCATTGACTGAAAAATGATGTGTCAGGATAATCAACAGCACTATAACATATAACTGGACATCAGTTCTTGCTCTTCAAGTCTGCTTTATAATTACCGATCTTAAAAATCGATAATGGCAGTGGTAGCTAACTTCCTAAGTTCTAGGATCAAATGTTTGGTGGTTAAAAAGTATTACAATTATCTAAATGATCATTTCCACCCAAATCAGCTAATTAAACCATGGGGGTGTCATAAACCGCTAACAAGTATGGCATTGTGCTTTTTAAGGGGCCTTATTTTGCTTGATTTGAAGACCCCATGACAGTCTCTTACCATGGATTTGCTCATCTCTAGATTAATTAAACACTCTACTGAGCTTTTGGATGCCTCATAATTTTTAATTGCCTTTGTTTTACTGACATCTATGTATCGCAAGCTCTGTGTTGGCTCATTTGCCGTTAACACCTTTCCATACATTGTGTGTTGATTTTTATTGATATCGACCCATATGTGTGTTAAAGTCATGAACTCAGGCTATACGATTGAGGAGCGAGTGAGCACTCAAGTGGAAACGTCCTGGCCTGACAGAGTGATTGATGGCTTGCAAGGTCTGTTATAGAGTCATAGTGTCTCTTTATATGAGAGAAAAGGATGGGAAGATTGATCGTGCTCACACGTGAAATCCAGAACCAGTTTGTTAACTGTCAGTCTGAGGGGTCCAAAAAGATTTTTCCTTATTTAGTCTCCTTTCACCTTAACTTCAGACTTTTTATGCAATGATACGTTTTTGAAATAAGTAATTAACTGTTGAAATATGAGCTGCAGAACATAATCTGAAAGTGTTATTAATGCTTTGAGATGTGAATTTATAATTAATCATCAAAGTTGTGTAAGTGATAGGAGGTGAGCAGTCAAAACATCCTCTTTTGCCTGTTTCTCTGGTGCTACTTTTTTTATAATTCACTAAGCATTACCAGTGAAGTGAAGATTGCAGCTGAGACGTGCCTAAGCAGAGAAATTTATTAAGATATTTAATCAAGATTCTCCATGGATAAACAGTATCAGTCTCATCTGTGCTGAAAACTGTTACCTTCTGGCTAAATAACAGCTTTAAGATGTGTCAGGATAATCAACAGCACTATAACATATAACTGGACATCAGTTCTTGCTCTTCAAGTCTGCTTTATAATTACCGATCTTAAAAATCGATAATGGCAGTGGTAGCTAACTTCCTAAGTTCTAGGATCAAATGTTTGGTGGTTAAAAAGTATTACAATTATCTAAATGATCATTTCCACCCAAATCAGCTAATTAAACCATGGGGGTGTCATAAACCGCTAACAAGTGTGGCATTGTGCTTTTTCAGGGGCCTTATTATGCTTGATTTGAAGACCCCATGACAGTCTCTTACCATGGATTTGCTCATCTCTAGATTAATTAAACACTCTACTGAGCTTTTGGATGCCTCATAATTTTTAATTGCCTTTGTTTTACTGACATCTATGTATCGCAAGCTCTGTGTTGGCTCATTTGCCGTTAACACCTTTCCATACATTGTGTGTTGATTTTTATTGATATCGACCCGTATGTCTGTTAAAGTCATGAACTCAGGCTATACGATTGAGGAGCGAGTGAGCACTCAAGTGGAAACGTCCTGGCCTGACAGAGTGATTGATGGCTTGCAAGGTCTGTTATAGAGTCATAGTGTCTCTTTATATGAGAGAAAAGGATGGGAAGATTGATCGTGCTCACACGTGAAATCCAGAACCAGTTTGTTAACTGTCAGTCTGAGGGGTCCAAAAAGATTTTTCCTTATTTAGTCTCCTTTCACCTTAACTTCAGACTTTTTATGCAATGACAAATTTTCGAAATAAGTAATTAACTGTTGAAATATGAGCTGCAGAACATAATCTGAAAGTGTTATTAATGCTTTGAGATGTGAATTTATAATTAATCATCAAAGTTGTGTAAGTGACAGGAGGTGAGCAGTCAAAACATCCTCTTTTGCCTGTTTCTCTGGTGCTACTTTTTTTTTATAATTCACTTACCATTACCAGTGTAGTAAAGAGTGCAGCTGAGACGTGCCTAAGCAGAGAAATGTATTAAGATATTTAATCAAGATTCTCCATGGATGAACAGTATCAGTCTCATCTGTGCTGAAAACTGTTACCTTCTGGCTAAATAACAGCTTTAAACCAATAAAAACTCTGGCTTCAATGCTTTGGAAAAACCTAAATGTTAAGCCCCAGGAAAATGACATATTGGTCATAGCCTTTTTGGGATTAAAAGAATAGTTAAAAACAGCTTCATTGTTTCAGGAAGTTTCTCCAGGTGGTGTTTTATGGAAGGGGACATGGTGATTCACATCCTCTCTCCTCTTCAGCCTGGTGCGGCACTTGATCTGCCACTTACAGCTGCTAATGCCTGGCAACTTCACAGCCTCCATTTAACTCGTCATGAACTGGGGCGATTTGCCTTTGTTGTATAATCGAGACGTCAGAGTGAAAGACAAGAGAAATTGTGATCTTGCTTGGCATTATTCAGCAAACCATTGCATGCTGACTAACACTGTTTAAGAGCATCAGATGTGAAGATCAACTTCTTGCTTTAAAGATATTACTTTTTAAATTGTAAAAACGATAATTTCCTACCTGTATCGACACATTTGGAGCACATAGTAATTTGATCATTCTGTTTAAACACTTTTTTTTTGACAGCGCCCCCTGGTTGCTGGCTCCTGATTTTTTAAAAGTGTTACATTTTATTTTATTTTTTATTTAAAATTTCTATAATATATTTTTGATTGTAT